CTCGTCCTTGGGTCTCCTTCCTTCCTTCCTCCCCCCGCGGCCCGGGAGCATCGCCGTCGGGGGAGCCCGCCCTCCCGGCCGTCACCTGCCTTGGACTCCTGGCTGGCTTGGCTTTTTTTTTTTGGTCCCTTTTCTCTGGGTGGAGGAAGCGGAGCCGGTTTTACTTCGCCGAGGGAGAGCAGTTTGCTTTTTTTTTTTAACGCCTCTGCGAGAAGGAAATGGCTCTCTGTGATGAAACGCTGACGGCGTGTCCGTAGGTGCTGTGCAAACAGCGTTTAGGCTCGGAGGCGTTTCACGTTTTCCTGGCGCAAACCATTTTCCTGGTCCTCCAGCCCCTGCCCGCCCCAGCTGCGGTGCTGTGCGGTGCGGTGCCGGGTTCTGCTCCCGGTGCCGCGGAGCTGCCACATGCGGAGCTGCCGGGGCACGGGCACCCCCGGGCTGCGGGTGCTGGGAGGTGCGTTCCGCTCCTGACGGGGCGGGCAGGGCTGCGGATGCGGAGCCTGAGCCGGGTCCTGCCCCCAGAGCGTCCGCACCTGCCCGCCCGGCACCGGGTTCCTGCTGTGGAGTTGCCCTGCGGGCTTGTGGTCCGGTCCCTGTGCCGCAGCCCTCCCTACCTGTTGCGGGGAGGCTTTCACCGCTGGGCCCGCGGCGTTTGCCGAGACCCGGGAGTGGTGCTGACCTTTAAGATGTCTTTGGCCGCTAAGAGCATCCTGGCTGGGAACCTGATTAAATAAGCTACCTCCCAGCGTTTGCCTTTTGATGTTACAAAACTCGGAGGCGTTACGCTGCGGACAACAGCGTTAGTGTTTGGCTTGTTACAACAGCACCTCCTATGACCGTGCTCTGGAAAAAATTTCCACACGTCCCTGACGTCACGTCCATTTGCTTTTACGCTGCCTGGATACCAAAGAGTCTCTTTAACTCCTGGAGCACCGCGCTGTGGCACCCGGCTCTGCCCACCGGCCCGGGCTGCGTCCCCTGCCTGGAGCGCGCAAGGAAGAGGAGAGGATGGAGTGCTTTCCTGAGGGTGCCCCTCAGCCTCTGCTGCTGGCTGCCCTTCCTGCTTGTCTGCCCTTCACGTAGACTTGAAAACGATCAGAACCTCATCAGAAGGCTCTTCCACTGATGGAGGTTTTTCTTTTTAATGGGGCTGCAGGAATACTTCTGCCTAGTGCTTCCTTCTCTTGCAGCTGATGACTTCAGGTCCTTCAAATAAACTGCCTCCTTTTTAATTTGCACTTAGATGAGGACAGCCTGAGATCAAGCAGCAGTGTCTCCCTTTCAAGTATGCTGTGGCCTCTGCACTGGCCTGCTGGTTCCTGCAGCCTGATTAGCATATAGTTGCTTGGCATGGGCTGGCTTTGCCTTCCTGTAGGCGGCCTGGTGATGCCTAGTACAGCATGTTACTGTGCAGTTAATCAGTTGAGATAATCCTTGTAAACTGGTAACTGATACCCAGAGTCTGAGCCATGCTGCATCTCCAGGCTCATCTCCACCACCCTGCCCACCACCCCCTTGCCCTCCCTTCCCCCCAGGATTATTCTAGGCATCTCTCTTTAGACCAAAACTAAATTCAGTCTTCCATTATTACGTAATTCAATTTTTAATTGGTATGAGCAGTGGGTGAGTGCCTTTGTAGACGACACAGGGCTGGCAAACCTGTGGTATGGTGACATGTCTTAGCAATTTCTTACACTGGAGATTGGGTATAAAGAGCTAATTTGGGCCTTGATTGTGCTCCTGATGTCTCTAATGGAGGTGATAGTCTGAATCACTAAGGGAGATCAGGCTTTTCAGTTGCTTGCAAGTCTGAATGTAACATTTCCTGCAGGCTCTCCTGAAAGTACCTTGGAGGTCCAGAGTTTTGTGGAATGGGTGTCATTCAGAGCAGCCCCATAGATGGCTTCTTGCTGTTGGGCACTTGCTTCACTTGAACATCTGTCACCTGTGATAGTGTGTGATGGTAGTGTTGGGTCACCCAGGGGATCCTTTGAAATAGAGAAGAACATGGTATTCATGTGTTACAATCTCAAATTCCAATTCATGGATTTCTAGGTTTTCAGGGGCTCATGCTGCCAGCCCCCGAGACAGCTGGAGTGATTTATATTTTCTGTCTGCATCAGAGCATAATCTCACTGTTAAATACACGCCTCTGCAGCAGGGCTTGCCATCTGAATTCAGCGTGCTGGGCTCTTCTTTGCAAGTGGCAGAAGCTGAAAATTCTATCCTGAAATGTGTCTGCCTTGAGGACTTGATTTGATTCCTTTTTCTGTTTTTCTCTTGCAGTTAAGATCCTCCTCTTCTATGTCATCTTCTACGGTTGCCTGGCAGGTATATTCATTGGGACCATCCAAGTGATGTTGCTCACTGTCAGTGAATTTGAGCCCAAATACCAGGATCGAGTGGCACCTCCAGGTAATCATATAGAAGACCCACGTTTGCTTTGGTGCAGGCTGTTCTGGGGAGGTGTGTTGGTTACTTGCCTCAAGAAGGAGGGTGAAATAAGCATGTTGTTGCTGCAGTACATATTTGTAGGGGGTGGGTATGTTCCCAGCCTCCTGTGTTAACAGTACCGGGGATTGAAGGCAATCGATAGAATTAAAGGTTACATCACATGAAGTATGCATCCTGTCTGCAAGGAGCTTGAACCTGGCTTGGTGCTCTTCCCTTTCCTGAATCTGAAGCAATGGAGTGAGGCTGAGAAGCTTTGCTTGGGAATGAGCTGTATGAATAAGCTGAGATCAGCTTTTCTTTCTTTATAGACACTTGTCTTCCCATGGGTAAGTGAAGGGACGAAGGTAAAATCTTGGCTTTATCAGTGGAACTGGGGTGCATGAGGAGAAAGGGGACCTATTCTGGTTGTGCTTACTGCATTATTTTGACCAACACTAAACTACACTGTGTGGTCTAGAGGAGATGGTAGCATTTACTCACGGGTGTTTCAGCTGAATGTGTCCTGCGAGGTTGATGGCGAGTCTTGTAGTTGCAGACACATGACCTGTCTTTACTAGACAAAATAAGCCTCTGCTCAAAATTAAAATGATGGCTTGAGGAGTGTCTGTGGCCAGCCTGCCTTGGGCAGGGGCAAATGGTGTAGCCCTTGCTGCAGGTTCCCTGCTCTGCCTGTCCCAGCTCTGCTCTGTGCTCTCCGATTCCGGCTGCAGCCAGTGGCTGCTCGGAGCCTGGTGGGGAGCTGTGCAACTGCTGCTTCCCCACATTGCAAATGACCTTGAGGCTGCTTGGCACTGGCCATGGTAATGATCTGTCTCCAGTTGCTCTGTAAAACAGTTCAGAAGCTTTTAATAACAGTGGTATTTAAGTGACAATTGTGAGGCTGATGGCTTGTAGCTACAGAAGTTGGCTCTGGCGTCACACGGTGTCTTACAGTCCCACTGTCTGCAGTGCTATACTGTGATTACCCCCTGCTCTGACAGCACAGGGAATGTTGCCATCACCAAATGGTATTATATCTCACCAAAGATTCATCTTTTTTGGATAATTGCTTTTCCACCAGCACTCTTGTAGACAGAGCAGAAACTGCTTCTTAATGTACTAGCACGGCTGGGGTAAATGCTGTCTGAAGCACTGAAAGTGGCTGTTTGTATCCCTGAAATGGGCTCTGAAGTGGGCAGGAAAGAATAAGCTGTCAGATACTGCCCAGAGCTGTTAGCTGCATCCCCCAACAGCAAATGGGGGGAGTAGTTGTTGTTTTAATAATGTGTTTCTCCCCTGCTGAAACCCAGTGGTCTCACCAGACATGAAGTAATTAGCAAAGAAGCCCATAGATCTTGGGTCACATCCAGATAGGCCTGCTGTTCAGCCTGATGCCACATAATTACTCATTCTAGGTAAACTATTCACTCTGTGTAATAATGGTTTAGAATTCTAATTTCAAAGCAACTCCATGGTAAAATTTCTTTGTAAGATTTCAGCCTGCAGGGGATTTCTACTTATCTTTTAATGGCATGCTGCACCAGTGTTTCTGGGGCTTATTTTTTTTTAACCAAAAAAGGGAACTGAATCTTGAGACGTTTTTTGTGGCATGTGCTTCAGAAACCAAAATGGAGGAAGAATGAAAAGGTTGTCAGGGATCTTCGTTTCAGAATATGTGCTGAAATCAAGGGGAACAAAATCCAGCTCCTGGAATATGTCACAAGAGCCATCCCAATAAGCAAGGGTTGTGAACCAAGCTGTAATGACACAAGCATACAACTTCAAGGAGGTATTTACCAGTTAAAAGCACAGGGCCCTTTGCAGTGTATCATGCCACAGCTCTTTATAGAGATTTGGACAATCCAGGGGTAAAGTGTGGTGGTGGCTGGTTCTCAATGTCAAGCCCGTTCTTCGTCCTGTGGCACAGCAGCTATTAGACCACAGTGAGTCAAAAATAGCCCTTAATGGGAGCGTTCAGGGATTGACACTGCAGTGAGTTGCTGCACTGCTGTATTTGGGAGGTCAGCAGTCCCTGTATTCTGCTGCTGTGTAGGGTTCTCTGCGCTGCAAGGACAAGTGCTCTTCTGGCAGCAAATGTGTGGGCATGTTCACTCCTGCACTTGGTGAGCATTTAACAAACATTTTCTGTAATCTGGGACCCCTGCAGACTATGAACAACATAAAGCAGGGTGTTATGCAATTCTAACTGGTCCTTGGGGGAAGATTTATGTGCCAAGTGAGTATATAGAGCAGCATGATAGAGCCCTGGATTCTCTAGGAAGCTAGAAGACTTGGTTTAATTCTTGTTACAGTGCTCTGCCCTTCTGGGGCAAGTCACTGCTGTGTCAGCCCAAAATGGCTGGGAAGGGAGAAACTCTACTTCCCTTCAGGATTTGCAGGAGAAAATGCTGTAGGGGCTGCTATAATATAATTGCTGTTCTGCAATACAACAGATTTCATAACAGCAGCAGAACCTGCAGGATGCCTTATTGAGTTATTGACATGGGTATAACATTGAAAGCCATAAAGTGCTATTTTCGTAGCCAAGTGTCATTACTATGCTAATTGGTTTCTGCATTGACCACAACAGGAATGTTACACAGGGCTTAAGGGCAAGCTGAGTTTTGTACCTTTCCACAGTATTTTTTTCCTCCTCTTTTGTCTTGGTGTGGGGGAAGGGATGGTGCAGTTCACCTTCTTGTCCAGCCTTGCCATTGCGACAGCCCCAGCTCCACGTGTGCTGCGGGCTCGGACTCTGCTTTAAGCACAGAGGACTTACCCTGCTAATAGGGAAGGATGAGGATACAGCCCCTTCAACACTGCATACCGGGTGATAAAAAAAAAATAATGCTCCGTTCTCCTCCTCCCCTTTCCCACCCCGCTATAAATTGAGCTGTGTATCCTGCCATCTTGTGGTGTGCCTCCTGTGAAACACGGTGTCCTGTCACTGGGGCTGGTGGGGTAGGGCTGGGAAAACTCACTGCTGCTGCCTGAAGCTCTTCTGCAGTGGCAGCTGGAAGGAAGAATCCCTGTTCAAGGCAGGGGGTTTCAGCTGTGTTCCTGATCCAAGTGCTGCTTGGCCGATGAGTGTGTCATGGGAAAGGCTGCTCTGGTGTGTATTCCCCACTTGGGATTTTTTTAGCTTGGATGGCAGCAGGAAAGCCCCAAGGAGCATATGCTGCCTCCTTTGAAGTTGCATTTTTTCCACCTTGGTCTCTTGTTTATTTCAGCATCTCTGTTAAGGAGAGTCTCTGAAGCTTAAGCTCCAGGGATGTTATCTGGTGAGCCAGGCACCTGCAGCAGCAGGCATTTGGAGGGAACTTGTACCTGCTTTTTGTGCTTTGGGGAGAAGGTGAATAGGGACTTGGAAGCTTGGAAGAACATCACTCAGTGTGGAGGATTTTTAAATCTATCCTCATTTAGTGAGCTGGTGGGGTGGTAGATAGGAATGGTGTAGTGATCACTCAATCTGTCATCTGTGTCATCCCAGGAGTGTTCAGACTCATTCTGGACCAAAACTACATGATGCTTGGAAATGAGCATTGCATGATTAAGTGGTTACTATGGACTTGCACAACCACTCCTAACAACAAGCCTGACTTCCCACTGCTGGTTCCTTTCTCCTCACCTTCAGGGCATTTTTTCCTGAAGTTTTGCTCCTGTGACTTAGAATGATATAGTTTGTGTGGAAAATGTAAATTAAGATGAATAAATGTGATTTTTAACCTGCAGTGGAGTTTTGGAAGTGAAGCTGTAGCTGAAAAAAAAATCAATGATTTCACATACTTTTTTTTTTTGGTGTCTGGTATCTTGGTACATCCACAGAGTTAGAAAACCAAGAGAAGGTGGTGTCTGTTACCAAGTCAAGGCATCACTCATTTATGTGGACAGTGTCAGTCAAATGAAGACAGTAGTATTTCTTAGCAATGTGCTCATAAGAGCCAATTGTGGAAGTTGTTGGAAGTAATCAGCATTTTCTTAGCAGTAAGTTACTTGATTCTTCCATGTGTGAAGAGCAGCATCACCACATGACATCATGGTGCATCACTGTTAATAGTGTGAGATGCAGAACTGTGGCAAACTGATCATAGTCTGAAGATGAGGTGAGGGTTGTTTAGACCCCCTGGCTGTAAAAGCACTGCAGTCTGTTTCTTTTCACCCATAGGGCTTGCTCACAAAGGGCTTTGTCATGTGCATGAAGCCCCTAAGAGGCTTATTCATCTCTGTACTTCATTTGAGACACAAGTTCCCTAGGTGTCTAGCAAACCATGGTAGGTAGCACTGGAATGGCTCAACTTTGTAATTCTTGCTGCCCCTACTGACTGGAAATGTACTGCAGAGGTTACCTCCTCTTGTTACACCAAATCTACACATGTAGAAAAAAAAAACACAACAAACAAACCAAAAAGCAAAGATTGCTTAAGAAGGGTTCAGTGGTAGTGCTGCTCTGGTAACAGTACTGAAGCCTTTAATTTGGCTATGGGATGTACGCATGGAAAGCAAAGAGATGATAGGGCTTTGTCTGATCAGTTGCAGACATGTGAGAATGGAGACTGTGGTGGAAGCTGATAATACATTCTTAATTGGGATAAAGGTATTTTCTTAACAAGCCTTTATCTCCACAAAGATTTGCTTCCTCACTTCATAAGAGGGAAGACTGATCTCTACTTCATTTTTTTTCTAAACAAAAAGCATGTGCTGTGTCAAAGCCCAGTCCTGTGTGTTTCATCCAGGTACCTGTAAATGCCCAAAGGTCAGGTGAAAGCAGCCCAGCTGTGGCCACAGGCTGAGCCTTCCTGTCAGGAACAGTTGTTCTCCTGCACTGGCCACTGGAGCAGCTGTAAGGAGATACTGCTCTGCAAGGATCTGCACAATAGGGATGCTTTGGATGGGAGCCTGTTCTCTCAACAAAGTAATTTGTCTTGTGGGTAAAGGGTTGGCTTTGGACTGTATGTGTCAGGAGCCAGGGTCTCCTAATCAGAGAGCAGGGTTGATCTGTTAAGTGGCTTTTACACCCCACGGGGTGTATTATTGCTGCCCTTCCCTTTATCTTTGCCATGCCTGCATGGGTGTGTTTGAGTGTTAACTTGGGCAAGACAAAATGGAGGTGGAGAGTTTCTTGGTTTGGAGGTCCTGAGCAAAACTGTATGGCTTAACTGCCTGACTGAAGCTTAACAAGCTTGGCCAAGCTTTCTTGAATTTTATATTTATACACTTGAATGACACACCTGTAACTTGAACTCTGGAGAAGGCAGAGGGGAGAGGAACCAGGGCAGGGCCTGCCTTGGCTGCAGTTCCCGATAGCCACTTCAAGTGACTCTGAGCCTGTTGCTTCCCAGCTGAGGGAGGGTTTGCGTTGAAATCCCTTACTAAAATTGAACCCAGCTTATTTATTTTATATATATGTATTTATAACTTTGTGAAAGTAAGAATGCAAATAAGTTTTGGAAAAGGGGTTGCCGCTGACTTTGGAGAGCAGGACATAATTTTGCTAGTGCAGTACTAAGTTGCTTCTAAACTTTTAATACTCAGCCTGGTCAGTTTGTACCAGAGGGAGTTCTGAGTGGTTAAAGCTGCTTCCTGGAATAAAACTTGAAACCCCAAGCTACTCACTGGGTGTCTCACTATCTTTCGCTACTAGGAGCTGCATTTAGGGGAACAAAGCTAATCTTTGTCCTGGGTTACAAATTCCAACTCCGTAGGTAGTGGGGGGGTGGGGAGTGGTGAGCTAGCTTGAGGAGGGACTAAGCAGAAGTACTCAAGTGGCTTTGGAAAAATTGCTGGAGTCACAAGCTCCTGTGGGTTGGGGCCAACCAGCTGAGCTGCCCGAATTTTGCAGCAGGGGAACTTGTTGGCAACATGCCTGTTCTGAGAGCTGTCAAAGCAAATGCAGCTCCCCTGCTCCTTTTTCTTGTTCTCACTAAAATGAAGATGACAAACTGAACAGAAGTCAAGACCTCAGTAATTACAGTGGCCGCCACAAAAGCAGCATGAACTCCAGTTCCTATTGCTGAAGTTTGAAGTATTAGCCGTGCATCAACAGATGCAATTAAAAAGTAACCTAAACATCATGCAGTTGCAACTGTTTTCAAGTCACATAACAAAAAAGCAAAGGGGCTGGCACCGTTCATCAACTGTAGGCGTTACTTGTATCTAGTCCCTTCTCTATGCATTCTTTCTCTATTCATCCTCCTCAAGTCAAAAGTGAAGCTAGTTACACAGCCCAGAATTTAGGACGGTCTTTTAAACATCTCTCCCATGTGGTGGTATTTCCTACTCACCTACTCAGTGAGGAGCTTCTGATTGGAGAGCTCAGAAGGCTATTTCTGCAGTCAGAAATGCCTGCTTATGGAGGGAAAAGACCAGAGAAAGTAATCAAGCTGATGGATTTACTGAGTGAGAAAGTATCCCCTGCCCTGCATCTTGCAAGGGAGGCTGCACAAAGGTAATGTGAATTGGAGCCAGCAGAGAGCATACCTGTAGTGGGGGAACCTCTCATATTTTATTGTGAGGTTTCATGAGTGGGCAGCTCTTGATTTTTATCCTAAACATGTAGCGTGTGCTTGGGGAGGAGGCAGAAGCAGGTAGGGGCCCTGTGCTTGACTGTTTTTCTGGAGGAAAACCTTGACTCATAGCCTCCCTTCTGGATTCTGTGATTTTTATCTGCTCAATAATGTAAACATCATGACGAATATTCCAGATTGTTGTTGGAAAGAGGAGATAAGATCCTGTCAGAGCCTCCCCTCTAGTGAGCTTAGGCTGTTTCATGCAAGTCCTGAAGTCAGAAAAACAGAGGTTATTAGAATGTGTTATGTTCTTGGTGTGCATTGCACTGCCAGGAGGCTATGCAGCTCTGAGGTGTACTTAATGTTTGCTTCCTAATTTTGCTTTTCTTAGGACTGACTCAAGTCCCCCAGGTACAAAAGACAGAAATTTCCTTTTCTGCTGCTGATCCCAAAAGTTACGAGCTTTATGTGAAGAACCTTGAGAAGTTCTTAAAGGACTACAACCCTGAGCAGCAAACTGAAAACATTGTATTTCAGGACTGTGGGGGTAAGTCTTGATTATTTTCTGCAGCTGAGGGCCCTGACCAGTGCCTCTGTGTCAGGTCCATCAGAAGCTGAGGGTGAGCAGTGGTGCTCTCTGTCTTTGGCTGCTCCTTTTATTGTAACCAGCAGCACCTTGGTAAACAGGGTGGCTCTGCTTTCAGTTGCATGGCTGCTCATTAAGTGATCAGTTTGGACAGATCAAGCTTGGCCAGGGGTTTACCTAGAAACTTATGGTAGAGGTTATATGGTTGGGAAATCCCAGATTTCACTTGGAGGAAGGTACAGGCTGGCTCTGAAAAGCATGTGGTGCTGACCTTATCCCTCTCTGAAAATCACTGGGGTTTTACTGATGACTTTACTAAAGTCGTTGTTGGTCCTTTTGATGCAATGCAGCAAAGCATCTGGGAGATACTAACCTTTAATAGAATCCTCAGTTAAAAAAAACAAAACCTCCACAAACTTGCTGGTCTGGAAACAGCCCACTTGTGGGGGGTGGCTGGGTGCAGGTATGTGGTGTCGAGAAGGGGGTGTCACTGACCTTGTTTGGACAAGGGGGAAATCCTAATTACAGTGAAGTGTAAGTGTTACTGTTCCTGACAAGCAAAAAGTCAGGTTGGTTACAGTGGTCTTTTCATTCCCCCCACTGTCACAGAAATACCTGCCGATTACAAAGACAGAGGACCATATAGTGATGCCCAGGGCCAGAAGAAGGTCTGCAAATTCAAACGTGAATGGCTGGAAAACTGTTCTGGAATAAATGATCCCACCTTCGGGTACAAAGATGGCAAACCATGCATCCTGGTCAAGCTCAACAGAATTATTGGCTTCAAGCCTAAGGCAAGTATCTCATCCCTTTCTAGCAGAAGCTACTGATGAGGAGGAGGAGGAGCTGGCTGCAGATTTACTCTGCCTGCTTTTCTGTCTCTGGAGAAAGATCATTTTAAACCCCTTCTGCAGGGGACAAATTTTGAGATTTTTTGAGGAGCTGGCTTTAAAAATACATTCCATTTAAAAAGCAGTGAAAACTGCACACTGCAAGTTGGTATTATGTAGCAATGAATGTCACAGTGCAAACTCTTGGGCATTTATCTGGTAAATTCTGAGCCCACTAACTGAACTGCTCCAACAGGGTATTATTTTCAAATGGTAAAACCCATTTTAAGTTCCTGTGTGCTTGCATGGGACTGTCCCAGACTAACTCTATCTGTAGTAAGATCAGTACATTGTGTCATGCCTCAATCTGCTCCTTTCTTTCCTCCAGCACTGTAGAGTTGCCTGCCTTGCTAAAACCACTTAATGAAATGAAGTCATGCTAATATTCACTGTCAGGCCAATACATATTCTGTAAAGCATAAACTACATCTAAGAGTCAGGCACAGCTCTTATTGTGAGAATGTTGATGAGATCTCTAGGTTATTTAATGCAGTTTCTAGATGCTGTAGAATATCTCTGTCACCCACTTGCTCTGTGCTGCACCTGAAGGCATGTTTGCAATAAATGCTGAAGGATGTTAATCCGGACAGCATGGGCTTTTACTTCTATTTTTTTCCCCAACACATTTAAGTACTAAAAAATTATCTAGGAATTCACTGGCAGAGCACATAGTATTGAATAAGGTGGTGTGCAAAACCTGCCCTTCCATCTTCTGGATTGAAAACAGTGCAAGTGGTGTGCTAAGCCACCTTCACCATCAGCCATCTCTCAGTGTAGCCGAGGATGGGGAATGGTGCTGTCTGGATAACATGTTTTGAGGAAGGTTTTTCTTCCAGGGGAGCCTGCCCTGTGCTGAAAGAAATGAGTGGAGTTTTGCCCATCTGATCCAGGGTGGAACCTGTGGGTGTGTTTCAGC